GTTTCGATGGCGTGATCGATATTTCGTAATTGATATACATATATATAGGCGGACCTATGGCTAAACGAATGGCATACGCGTTTACATAATAACACTTCGAAAATTTTGATTCCGATCATGCCCTTACTGGAGTAACGGCCAAGTCGTTAATATCACGACATGACTGGCCATTGTGTAATGACCGACTGCTTGTTTGTTCAATCTGTACGAAGCCATTCATTTAGTGGTACAATTTTTTACGGTATACTTAACGTACGGTCAACTGGAAATGCATGGACCATAGATCGACAGTAATTCTTGGTGGGAGAATTGTTGAGGCATTGTGAGACCTTGTCGTAGTGAAATGGAAAGGGACTCCACGTGTCTTACCTTTTTTGTAAATTCTTCGACGAAAGGGAATCATATTCCTTATGGGTAGATTTACCTATTGTGATATGTATACAATTAGATAGAGTATCGATATGGAACGATATGTGTATCTGGTTAAGAAAAATTAAACTGGACAGGGTCGCAACTGGTCTTTAACCAGATGTACAAGTAGCTCAATTGCAGTTGCATGTGTATTATAACATCGTCCCGGATTCGAGCGTTCCCACCATGGCGCTGGAGGCGTAACAGCAAAACGGACCAGTGGTCAAACCAGTTTTGAAAATCCTTGAAGAGTTTCCGGCGTCGCCCTGGGTTTGCCAAGGATAATTTTTTTCCTCCCTTTCCGAAGTTACTGGGACAAGAATTAGTATCGATGCTAATGAGAATATTTATTAAACGTCAAGCAGATCACGTCGAGGTAGCTGTATGACTGCATTCATTTTTTTGAAAAAAAATTGTAGAAAATAACACTGTGTCCAGGCATAAATCAATGTCCGAAAATAGCTGCGGTGTGGATCAAAGTTGCACTTTGTATAATTATCTAAGAGGTTCGTATGAAAAAAAAGAGACAAGTCGAGGATTTTAAATTGGCGACTGCGTAACTTTCAATTATTTTACATCAAGCGAGCCTGGCGAAATGACAGCCCCCGGCTGTATTACCTAATAGCGATCCATTTGTTGAAATTTTAATGCTCGCTTATCCTATTTGACGCCTTCACGTGGGTAGCGCTGCTGTCTTTCCCCGAGAATCCGTTACTTTTGAAAAATCGCACACGTGCTGGCAACGGCATACGTTCGTTTGAATTACCCGCTGAATATATTCCGTGACAAATATGGCGCGACAGAATCTATCGTGTATCAATATAAAATCGCACACGTGCTGGCAACGGCATACGTTCGTTTGAATTACCCGCTTAATATATTCCGTGACAAATATGGCGCGACAGAATCTATCGTGGGTTTCAGTACCGTAGTCTAGCGATTCTAGTAGCTTTGACTCCATGTTACCATTCGGATTTGCTACTGGCAACATGTACTTTCGGGGATAAGTACAGCTGAAGCGTCGAGCATACGAAATACAAGGTTTCGATTCTAACCTCTGACAACGGATCAGTAGTCCTCGTTATTGTGCATTTACCAAGCCCTATAGTCTCTACGGACTATAGTATACTCACTGGGGTGCCGAAGCGTCTCTCCAGACATAACATTTTCAGTCTGACCTTTGATTGTGATGGGATACTCATAACTCCTCTAGGCCATATGACCCTTACACTCGTACGGGAGTCGTTCTTTCGACCACGTGATACAATCGATATAGAACTACTTTCAAGGCATGCAAGGACGTGAGTTTTTTTTTATTGTTTGATCTCTTTGTTTTTCTTCTCGTGGGTGATGAGGTGAAGTGTCTTTTTATACATGGCGAAATGTCTGATCCGGCAACAGGGTGTATACCAGGAAACTTCAGGATGCATAATTACGATATCCGGCTTGATAAATTCCTTCCGGGTTATTCTGACGTAATATATTAAAAAATTGCTGTCATTCGTCGTGATCGATATTCACGTCAAAATAATCAACCGTTTGAAGGTAACAGTTGTCGACAGTATATTGCTCAATGTGAATTCGACTTTCGGTAGCTCTACTTTTCGACCTTCCCTTTTCCACAGTGTATTTTCAATCTCGACTGCACGTATTTACGTATGCAAAAATATCTTTGCTAAAAGTTATATATTAATATGTTTACTATCTCTTGTGCTCTTTGATCATTGAAGTGTAGCGAACACGATGCAATACAGTTCACCGTGTATTTCTGTATTGTGTTCTAATAATACATACCGTGAATTAAAAGGTCGTTTCAGTCAGTTCCTTCCGTCGGATCTCAATCCCTATATACTTCTATATTGACGTAGCACAGTGTTACCAACTTGGTAGAATCGAATGGTGAAAAATTCTGAGTAAAAATTCTTTCACGCTTTTTCTCGTCAACGAGTGTCGTATAACGAGGCATTTGGGTCGACTCATGCAGAGTTCCATGTAGGAAAAAAAAAAAGTTCATTCGACCTATCGTCGCAAGGACATCGACATTCTCAATGACGAGGATTCAAGTTGATTAGTAGAAAATTTATTAGCATAGATAGTAAGAACATTTAGATTACTTAACGGCATTATTCAGATCATTCGAGAAAGTGCATCTTTTTTCTATTGCCAATGGTTACAGCAACCGTTGAATACGTTTCGATGGTCCGTTCTTTTGACAGCTATACAAATCACTTGAATCTTTTTCGTACCTGACTGCACGACCTTTCAAGCGTCACAGAAGAAAAGATCACAATTGGAAATCAGTTCGTTTACGTCACCATTAAGCAGGGACATCAATTGAACCATAGGGAAGCAATGGTACGAGCGATGTGCGTTACGTAAAAAAAAAGCGGGTCCTTCCTCTTGCCAAATTAAGTTGGCATGTTTCATCGTATCACACTGAGTCTCGCTCTAGATCCATATATTAACTGAGGTACAAACGCATAATGCAGTATATACATATAAAGCGTGCTTGAAACGGACTTAGTGGCCAAGTAATAGAAATTTACCAGAAAAGGTATTTAGTAGCCCGGTTCTAAGATTAGTAACTTGAAATTGCATCAACTTCTTCATTACGTTACGCCTTTGCAATGTTACCCTGGCCGTCTAGTCCGTCTAGGAAGAAACACGAAGCAGCTATGCTATTATAAATTTAATGAGCACGATAGTAGCAACGTAAACAATTATAATTCCCATAACGCAAGTATGAAGATTAATTATTAATAAAATGAAATGGAAAAAATTAGCACAGAATCGCACAGACTTGCACAGGTATTCTTAGCGTTCTGAATAATCGCGTTACCGGTGCCTAGCCGTCTGGTCAGACATCTCGCGGAACGTCACTCCCTGGGAGCATCAATGAATACGGAATAATACATTATTTTCGGTGTTTCTGGTAAACGGATCGAGGGTGAAGGGGAGCCTGGAAAAAAAAATTCCAAAGGAATTCGGACTAGTTTTCGGAACAAAGTGAAATTTCCTGTATTTGTTCGAACGAAACGTCCAACTACGGTTGCACGAATTTTCACCTGAAATCTCTCGGTATTTTAATCTTGACTTTTACTAAATCGAGTATCTAAGGAATCTAACGTTTTATGGGACAGTTAATAAATACCTAATGGTCTCGAGTGTGTTACTCACGCTGATTCGAACTATATCGAATGGTCGGGTGAAGCTAATTTACTGGAACTGGCAGTAAGTCGGTACCTTGGCTGGACCAAGTAAGTCAGATCAAAGTGAAGGAATTGCATAGAAGCGTTCTACCGCAATGCACTCCCAGTGAACATTGCTCTTGGTGTCTACAGGCAGAAATCCCGAGCGAATCATGTGATGCTACTTTTACTTTAAGTGCCGTATACCTCGTGACTCTTGGCCTGTACACATATACAATAGCTTCTTCGGCCGTTGAAACCTCGTGATCAGGCAGACGCTTCCTTTTCCTTCGGTTACCTCCAACAACCAGACTCCTTTTACATCTCTTCGCAATCTAGATAGGCACGTACTTGGTTATGAGATTGCTACACGAGGATTCTTTCTTTCGTACACTATGTATCTTTAGCACGTAGGCGTACTTTCCTAACTCGTTTCAATGAGATCAGGCTAGATTCACAGGCAGACATTAGCGTAGGACAAGGAACCATTATATTATCCAAGATACTGTATTTATTATTCTAAATAGTTACTCCGCTATTGTAGTCTGTATACGAATGTGATGCCAGAGACAAATTGACGTCTCCTTCACAGGATGCGACTTTACCGATCGAGATGATAACCTTACCGGTGAGGTTAGATGAGGGCAGCGAAAAAGTATTGTGAAAATTAATTTATACAAAATTATCATCGCTCAAAAAACTTATTGCCAATGACTTTTGGGTAAGATTTCGGAAATATCATGCGAGGGGACAGAAAATGGCGGATGGTTAACGAATATATATCTTGACCTCGAGTAGCCGCACAAGGAGGTCGAACGAGGTATGCAATGTAGTTGCCGGTACGCGAGAAAGACATATCATCCGGTGCGTGTCTCATTACGTCATTGGTGCATTACTCAATAATTGATCTCGGCACACCGCCGCCTTGGCGAACAGAACAGAACCATTCTGGTTTGCTTGTTCTTATGAAATAATATGTAACTCGGCAATCGCATAGTCAATGGTACATCGACACTCGGCTGCCGTTACCAGATGTATCAAGGTTCTTTCAGACATTCGATAGTCTTCGAAGGGTCAGAGGGTGCTGGTAACCGATGATCCGTAGGTTGGTATTCGTTCTTGAGATATACCTCTTTTCTCTCGCTAGCGTATCTGTTGAAAGACCAATCCACCCATTGATGTATCAATCTGAGAGCAAAGGCCAAGTTCAACCATTGTTTAGATTCTGGTACAGTCAGAGTACAAAGAAACGCTATTTGCTCTGGGTTCTTGTCAGTCTGCTCATGGCGTTGGACTGATTGAATGAAATTACTTTTTTTTTTTTTTTTTTTTTTTTTTTTTTTTTTTTTTTTTTTTTTTTTTTTTTTTTTGAAAATATCACAGATATCTTCTCGCCTGGCAGTCCGACTCGCTGGATGATACAGTCAACTGTAAATCTGACAATGACAATGAGCGGTCCTTTCGCAATGACGCGTGAACGTGCGAGGAACGGCACGGGAGTAACGTGAGTATAGAAAGTTGGGTTTTCGCAAAAAGATTGATCGTGGTAACCGATGAAAAATATTTGCTCTCGAATGAATGTTGACGCGACAAAAGATACGACTGTTTAAAAGCAAATAGTGTTTAATGTTTGTCGTGCGTGAATTTTTCTCGGGCACTAATTGCACCGTTGCTTTTTAATTTCGAAGATTGGTGGACGATTTCAAAAAGTTACTAGGATTTTTGGATTTGACATAATTGGGAAATGGTGGGGTTCGAAGGTCGTTACTTGGAAATCAGGAAGTGTCATGCACTTGGCGGTCTCGCGCCTCTCGCGATCGATACTCCAATCGTATGGAATAATGATTTTGATTTGCGTTTTTTGGTAGCGATCAAAGTCTCCGAATTGAGGGCAGACGAGGCTTGTCTAGAGAAAGGAAAGTTGGTTGGGAGTCGCAGCACCTCCTTCTTCACCACCATCTCCTCCTTCTCTCGTAGTCTCGTATTTTTACCAGCGCTTGGTGTATACTATGGAACGAGTGGTAAGATGAGGCGAAGCGAGCGAGTCGGCTCGAAGTAAGGTAAAGTAAAATGACTCCAGTTTCCCCACCAGGAGTTACTTTTGGGGAGCTTTCGCATCCCACCCCGGGACACGTTCTCGATAAAGAACTATGCCGACGAGAAATGGCTAGGACACGGGGTTCGACGTTAAACAGTCGAACAGTAAGTCGCTAACTAACGACTGAACGAACTGCCGAGAGCGGCGATCGGCTTTTACCCGACTGTCTTTGTACTTTGTATTATTTTAATATAACTTAAACAAGTTACTGCGAAGCGAGTATCGGTACTGTGTGTGTTGTGATAGTCCGGGCGATTGTAGTCCATTGTTAGCTAGACCGAGGAAGACTCTCTTGGACACGGTGGAGTAATTAGTCGCAGAATGATCGACGGGTGAGTTTTTTGTATCTGTGGTATGAACGGCAATGTTTTTTATGTGGAAAAAAAATATATGAGAAATTTTTGGAATTCGAGTAACGACAAAAACAATGACAACAAATATTCAATGATCAACAGTGCGTTATGTATTATTCAATAGTCAAATATAATTTTCACTTTAATTCAAATTTCATCGAATTCGTCTTGTTATTTATTTTTAACTCGTTTATGTGCAACGAAAAATGGGTTTGAAAAATTGTAATTTTTTTTTTTTTTTAAATATTTTTTATACGTTCACCAAGTTTACTTAACAGACTGTTGTTTAATAGAAGCACTGTTATGTAGCCGGCTCTTTTTCTTGCTCTTCATTGAGCAGTGCAAAAGTTTTTGTTGTTTTGTTCTCTCGGTCTTGATTTGCAAAGAGGAAGAATCCCCGAGTCGATTCAGTGAGAAGAGAAAGGAACGAGAACAGGAACCGCATAATTTCTCTCTCACTGCTTCGTCAAGAGTCAAGTTGCGGCGACTCTCGAAATTTGTTGACTTGGAGTATTTTAGATGTCGGGTGAAATACCAGGTGCAATGAAAAACTGACAAAGCAGTAAAAGATATATGGACGGCAGTTAGGGGAAAAGAGAAAACGAAGGAAAATGATATATTGGAAAAATTCAATGAAATCATCTAGCAGCATCCGCCTTCCGCAGATGCCGGACTGATTCTTATCTATCATCAAGTCGAAGTAACTGCGCCTGTCTGATGCTGCGAAAAGTGAAAGGAGATTTCGAGCAGCAAAAAAGTAATACTTGCTTTATTTGGATCGTCCTATCAATCATCTGGGACGTAATGTCGTTATTACGCATTTCCGTATATCGTACAATAGATTTCGTAAGTGGTAAAGAAAAATAAGTCAAGATTTCGGAAACTAAAAATACCATAGACTCGAATCAACAAAATATACCGTACGTAAATGTATTTTTATGAAACTTGAAAAAAAAAAAAGAACAATGGATTTCTACCGATAATTTTCGAATTGAAAAAATATTCCTCTACACCACTTTCATATCCTTTCTCCGAACCACGTGATATCAACACTTTCAAAATTGAACGCGTGTGTCCGATAATTGAATGAAACCCAAGATCTCTTGCTATGTAATTTTATCGTAGCGAATCCGGTAATTGCCAAGCAGAGTCAATCAGTCGTATACGAAAATCTCACTAACGAGGTAAAACCGGCAAATTTATCATTTCGAAAAGTAAAACGATCTATTTATTTGATCGAATCAGTGGTATGAAAAAAAGTGTAAAATTTCAAATTTTCCCCAAATTATAAAAACAATCATTACCATTGCAGTGACGTAAGAAATTTTTCGATTAACGCAGCTTCTTATATTTGTATTAGCGAAATTCGAGGAAACCAACGAGTATTAGCAAATCGCACTTCTTGTAGATATACATCCAGCCAGATCACTACGTACGAAATGAATTGCACAAAGTTTGGAAAGGCAATGCCGCCCGAAACATCTGTACCCGAAGAAGCGTTGCAACTTTTGAAAGGCATAAAAATAACAGCCCGGCAATTTCGTGTCAATAAAAATAAACAGTTATCGACTGGTCGCTTAAAAAGTGCGATAATCGTTAAATCAATCGTTATGGACCATTCGGTGAGAAACGAGTCTGTAATCGATCAGGTGTCTCTCAAGACCCGAGAAATAAACGGACTTGATCTTTTCTCACCTCTTCAGCCAATAATGGCATCAATAAATTAGCGAACTACGCGAAAGAAAGTTATAATAACTCATAACCTAAAATAATGATTTCCACGAAAGAAAGTGCGACAGCCCAATAATTATACGAATTTCTAAAGCGAATGACTGTCATGTCCATTTACAACGGTAGCACCTTCGGCTGCATTTTTTTAAATTCAATTTTCGAAAGTCGTAACAAATCATTATCATGAAATTTCACGTTACACCTTTTAAATAGCGGAGGTTAGGAACACCTTATCGAATACCAACGTGACTGAGGGAATGCGCGTAATCGATGTTGAACAAAAAAATTATTGTCAACGTTACGCTCGTTGACCAGCGAAACCAATTGAATTAACAGCTGATTGATGTTAGAATGGATAGACGTAATTCACCAAGCGGAATAGCCACAGTGATTTTATAACTCTCACCGTACATGCAACAGTCGGGACGATCCACTGGGAAGGTACCTGCTTCATGACGCAGGATTTTCCACCTGCCTTTTTACTGGCATTTAAATCCGTTAACACTTTCCCTCGATATTTACATAAATTCAGATCAGCCTCGAACCTCAGGATCTAATTTCCGGCATCGAACGACGTAACGTCGATTGAATCTTGCGGTGTGGCACAGTTCCGTAATAAGATATGTATTCCATTTATCTATGATTACCACTGCGTCACAAGAACCGCTAGAAAATTTTTTCTTCACAAGAAGAAAGTGCCTATCGCTACCATTACACTCAATTACGTAGAGAATGTTCACACGTACCTTTCCACAAGAAAGTGTTATACTAGAAAAATTCACCTGGAAAATAATTGAGCAAACTACTAATTTTCAAAGTACCGTTACCCAGTCAGGAGTATAAAAATTTATAAAGTACTTGATAAACTTGTACATGTAAGAATTCCATAGGCATTAATTCACTGTACCTGGTACCAGGTTCTCAATTGCTGGATATGTACGTCTTATGAAAATATGTTTAAAAAACTGTTCCTTGATAATTAGAGCAAAGAATTTGATAAGGCCCTGGACATGGAAAGTCTTATCTCCATTAATCCTTATTCAATCGTTCATGATGCAATACTACGTTCAAGTGAACGCGCGGGTGTTCCTTAGGCTGTATATTCAGACACGGTATATAATGATTGGTTTACGGTTTCAGATCCGTGATAACGCGGACACGGTTAACCATACTGTTGTTCCTGTTAGCGGCAAAAGGAGCTACGCCACTGCATTACCAGTCGATCGAAGCATACGCCAATGGCGACGAGTGCGCGCTGGTCCTGGATGGTCCGGGAAGGACCAGCGTCTTTGACTACACGTACAATCTCCTGCGTGGAAGTTTGTAAGTACCTGAGATTAGTACAAATTTCTAACGGTCAATAACCATGTATAATACGGTAATCACGTAACGCGAGAAAAGAATAATCACTATCCCTAACACTTTCACCGAAAAGGTCTTCCCAAGCCTGAAACTCGACTTACACGTGGCTACCCATATACCGCGCCGAGTCTTACCAAAACTCTCCCTTTATCACGCAATCGTATAATTATACAGAGAAAAAGAAAAGAAATATCAACATAACGTTATTAAAGACTGCAAGTAACATACGTTCTGTAAATCTTGGTGTAAACGGTATATCGTCGTATTTAAGATTCCCGCGCGCGTGGGAAGTCAGTGCGCATGCGCAGTGAGAAATTTATCGAGGTCCGCGTATACTTCGCAACGTCCGTTAAGGAATCTAGCTTTAAGGTTAATTTATACCGATACTAAGTATACGCGTAGCTACGATTCAACGTTGATTGAGTGATGCCGCTCGGTGCTAAAGAAATTATTGATTCAATGACAAAACGTCAAAGCTCGGACGCTAAGGATCTCACATGGCGGCAGATATTTACGCTACAGGAATCCGTCCGTAAGACTACGTCCTCGTGGGACAGCCTCGGGCGTAATCTCTTTGGACGTCGAGACCGCTTTGGATGCTCGTTGAATTAATTAGTAGTGTTGCGCAGTCGTTTTACGAGCGTTTATGAATTTTTCGCCGGCGGCCACGATATAATGGTGCACCAATTCACAATGCACCCTCTGTGTACACAGTGGCCGATCTGCGTGACAGTCAATGGTGAAAGCAAAAGCTGTCTCGAAGTTGTATACGGTGGTTGTGTTACGATTTAAAATAAAAGCCGCGCCTACGCTAAATGGCATGACAGGATTACTCACAGTGTCAATCAGGATTCACGTGCCGACCAGTAGTTACATGGAATGCTAAAGTTCCTGAAAGATCCTGATTCCTTTCTCGCGAAAACTTTTCTTGAACAAACTGTAAGTATAATAATGCTAGCCACGTGCATTGAAATTTCTAACCTCTAATCTCTCCATCAGCATCGATTGACGGTTCCTTGAGTATGCTCGGTAGACACGGTTAGCCGATACTACATACGTTTAAGAGTATCACGTTGGATTTCAGCATAGTATCGACCTACAGGATCTAAATTTATATCCGACATTGTATCTAGGTGTAAGCTGGGTTTGGTAAACTCTTTAGAAAGTGGAGTAAAGAATTTTGCCCTTTCGAATTTGAACACGTGTCACATAGAGAGCGACGTTTAATAAAGCATGTTCAGACTTGTTTATGACTTTTGCTCGATAAATTATGTCATACCTATGAGCGATATGATTATTGTTAGTTAACGCATCATAGCAAAGGCGTACAATTGTGCGAGTTAATCTTTAACGTGTAAAATTATTGTCAGGATATCAATTATCGTCCAATGATATGCTTCCTTAGAAGTTGAAGCAGAAATATGTAGGAAAACGTATACAAATTGAGTAAACGTCAAAATGAATATAGCATAAGACTCTTTGAGCAACTGCTGAGCACGGCAGCCCGTTCGTTAGATTAATAGCCCTGTGATTGAGACTGCAACATTGAAAGTAAGAAGAAAAAAAAATGGCGTTTAATAACCGGCCGATGATTTAAATGCACGTAGCGAGCGGTAAGTCAAATTAAAAAGAGCCTATCCAGAAGTGTTTCCACGTAAAGATACCTAATGACCTTATGGGGCAAATGAATTACAGCCTTTATCATTAGTGTCGTGGTACGTAAAGTGCTCTTACCAACGTATCGATACATATACGTATACATCATATATGACTGCACGTACGGACACGTGTAAAATGTACGTATCGCCAATCAAGCAACTAGCAGCTCGTATATGCACTGTGCTAAAGTAGACTTTCTAACCCTTTTTAGATTGATTCAGAGGAGTTCAGCAATTTCAAACTATGTATATCGAAAGCAGAGCTCATGTTGAGTAGCAATCATGAGAAATGCGCAATCAAAAACACACGTTGGCCTCTGGTCCACCTTCTATGGTCAAGATAGTTGATTTTTTTTTGTTACCGGTAGAAATCTACTTATCGTTATACCTACAGTCATTTTTTCATAGTCTCCAATCACCTTCAATTTATTCACCATGCTGCTTACCACTTACAAATATACTAACGATCAAAGATCAATAATATAAATACAGGTTTTGATGCTCGATCGCGACGCCATGATACTGCTTGCCATGGCCTAGTACTTGTGCAGGTTAGAATAAAATACTGAAACACAGGATGGCATATTTTAATTACTCATTCGTACCAGATTAACAGCTGACTCAATCCTTGCGATGATCGCGATGATAAAGTCAGTAGAAATTCATTTCAATATAGTATTGTCTTAGAATTTCTATTTGGACTTCCGTAAGAGCCAGTTTACTTTTTTCACTAGGTATTATGTTCGGACTACCGAACAAGTGATAATTAATGTCGATACTGGTATAAAATGGATGGAGAGCAGTAATCGAATGTAAGCTAACCGTCGGATTGGCTTTCGTGCCAAAGGAAATACGAAGCTTGGCACGTCAATGCCACTGTCTTGCTCTAGAAACAGAATGCCGATTCTGGAGTCACGGAGAAGGTGCGTGTATCCGTTTCGGGTTACCCGGTATATACAAGCAGTACGTAAAGGACTAGAATATGGGCTTACGAGGTACATACGTTAAAGACGTGCGTATAGGAGCTGCATTCGTATGACTGCATGGTCACGATATCGTAGGTACGCCTACATGAGCGTTAGTACGTAAGTGAAGTGCTCACGCCTTCAAGGAAAGTAGGCTGCCGTGTTAAGTAATTGGCTCGAGGAGAAGGGACACCGTTAATAATAAGCTCGAATCTCAAGATGGCTTTTAATTCTCATTACTTGATTTTATTGCTAATTCAATTTTTTTCATTGTTCACAGTCCACCCACCGCCGGTTCGCAAACCTGTATCACTTACGACGCCGTAAATAATGCTTACATCGAGGCTAGGAAACGCATCAGTAAGTAACAGATCTTTGGATGATCAATGAAGGATCGATGAACGCTGGAAAAAAAAATGTGCGAACAAAAATCAGATTCGCAATTCTTTTGGTTAATTTCTTGTTAGATATCGAATGGTAATCGTTAAATATTGGTATAGGTATACGATCCATGTAAAGTTAGTATTTAGCTGTAAATTATATTGGTCAAGTGACGTAACGATTCTCAGAAATGGAGCGATCGATGATGTATGAATGAAAGTATCTATTGCGTAAGATTACTTTGGTATTGGCGAGCCTACTGGCTAATGCTATGAATGCATAAATTAGTTTCCCAAAAGCGATTTCGTAAATTGTTTTCGTGGGAAGCACCCCGGTTATTCGATACGGAAGATTTCACCTGACTTCAGTCTTACAATCACTTACTGTCTCTTGTTTCCTCGGGTAATTAATTATATATGAGGGAACGACTGTACAAAAAGTTGGTTTCGCGAATACTTGAATTTCATCACGGCACCTTGCGAAACTTCAATCTCACGGACGGACTTCGTTGTCGCTGTTTTCACGATTTTCATGCTTTTGCACAGACGTTGCGCAGTCGAAGGCAGATATCTGGAGACCGGAGGATCTTGCCACCGTTGGCGAACTTCTTCTGGACATAAGCGTTAATCTTGCTCAAACGTGAGTATACGAAGAAGTAAAATTTCAAATAATAATAATAAATAAGGTATCTAAGTTAGTAACGTGAGATAAGATATTTCTTTTTTTTCTCAAAATTTATGATTTTCATTCGTAATTGTCACTCGATATACTTTTCCTCGTATCTCCGACTGCACTGCTGATTTATTTATGAGTTACTCTGTCGAATAACGAATGTGCTTTTAATTGCAACAACTTCATCCATTATTCACGAGTCACCCACTTTAACGGGGAGCTTAAGTCGACGTATTTCGTACGTTCTAAAGGATATCAGATATTTTTCATAGCTCCACACTTGAGATAACTCGATCGCCGATAGCCATCTATATAAATCTTATTGATCTCTCGATCTGAGACCGCGATCAAAGCCAACGATATAAATTGGAATTGAAAATGGTTTAGATCCGTGCTATAGCACGAGTTAAGCAGCCAATGATAATCTCGTTATTACAGATACGGCTTGACCTACGAGGAAATCGAAAAAAGTTTACCTCTGATTGACACCTCGAGGACTCTCATTCGCGAAGTCTGTCCCGCATTCCTTAGCAACGTGGAATGTCGTCCCGGCAAGTACAGACGTTACGACGGTCTCTGTACGAACTTGGAAAATCCAACCTGGGGCTCCTCTTTGTCTCCATTCTCAAGGTAAACCATAATAGAGTACCGTTACTTTCCGTAAAAGTGATCGCTTCCTGAACTCTGGCCTTACGTGCTCGCTAATTAATTCTACAAGAACGCCCAAGTCTGTGACTTGCAATCTTCAGCGCGTATCAGACATACCGGAACACAGTATTGAAGTAAAGATATTTGAGTGCGTCCAGTGGGTCACCGGGTCACTGATTACCAGACTCGTTACGCAATTAAAGTTCCTATTATACAGGCTACTGCCACCACGTTTTGCCGATGGACTCACAGCACCTAGAATATCGGTGACTGGCGGGGATTTGCCTTTGGCACGTGTTGTCTCTCGCACCATGCATCCAGACGAAGGCTACCATGATCATGCTGGAACGGTTATGGTAATTGCTTGGGGACAGTTCATGGACCACGATTACACCCTGACTGCCACTCCACTAGGTAAGTTACCTGCATCAATGATTTCATGATGGTTACTATTATTGTTAAGTATTATTGATACGATGGGATAATCCAATCTGTCCATAAGCAACAATGACTCCAAGTGCATCAGGCTATGATCATTGAAATAATTCTGAGCACGTGATCGTGAAGTACGCTGGTTTACGCAAAATCTTCATCATCATCATCATCATCATTGAGCAACGTTGAAGGCGTTTTGTGTAACGTTCCTTACTCACGTGCGAATGGAGCAACAATCTATTCCGGGACTTCGTTATTTCCATATACCGAAACGAGGGTAACCGCTTCGACGGAGAAAGCGAACGATTGCACCTGAGATAATTCGGTGCTCTTGTGCAGTTTGGTATTTTTCTAAAATCACCAGTTATAAAATGACCCAGGTCGTTAACGTCAATCTTATCAGAAAGAACTTTAGACTGGCTATTGGCAGTAACACGCAATTGCTCGACACTCGCAGCTTTAACGAGATGCATTTCACGCTTGTCACGCTGCGTCAGGAATGCGTCGATTATCGCGATTTTATTATTACGCCTCATGGAAACCCCCTGGAGGTCTAGACGACCACTTGCTGATCGTTCGGGTTTACCTTATATGTATTTACCATACGTGTTTGGATACCGTACCAACGTGGTATGGATTTTCAAGTTCTTCGGTTAATTAGGTTATGTAACTTATCGCGCGTTATAACGTTATTCGAATAAACGTAAACAGTACCTTGGTAACGATTCAATGTAAAACCTTACAGATCCTCTGAACCGTAATGACCCGGAGGAGTGCTGCTCGCGTCCGCCTCATCTGAAGAATCCTTACTGCAATGAAATTTACATTCCCGAGGACGACTATTTCTACAGACTGTTCAACGTGCGATGCATGGATTTCGTACGTGCATTCCCTGCCGTACGTCCCGGCTGCAGGCTTGGCTCTCGCGTGCCATTCAATCTTCTCACTGGCGTTCTCGACGGCAACACGGTTTACGGCATCAGCGAGCATTTTGCCAGGTAAATCTGTAATAAAATTTATAAATACGACATTGATCCGTCAATTGTATACTTACCTTGGGTTATTGCTGATTATCCGTATCCAATGGGTAATCGCATAGTTCCTTAAGTGACGCTGTTGAAATCACTTTTACTCTTGGAACATAGACACTGAACTTCGTTGGCTATTTGCTAATTCATGTTTGTGTATATATATAGTAACGAGAGTAATATGTTTCCGTGGTGCGAGATGAAAAATTTTAAAGATCGAAATTACCGTGTACGCCCGGATACAGTGAAGCGGTCCCGTGGGTTCCGCCTTTGGATACCTTTGTTACGTCACAGGCTGGTAATAAATCAGCATTACAACGCTCTATATTACTGTCGTACAGTCCATACTTTCTACCACGCAATTTATTAGGCTCGCCTTACTCAATGCCCGTGATCTCTGTTTTCTCACGTATACCGGAAGCGAAGCTTTGTTTTCCGGTAAATTAAATCCACACGAAAATTTCAATCGGATTGAGATACCATGGTCAGGTACAGTATCCAGCAAAATTTAAAGAATTCGTATAAATCGATATGTCACTTTATTCACAGAAAGCTACGTACCGGCTACGGAGGATTGCTTCGTATGAATCCAGTGTTCTCGGAGTACGGTCTGAAGGATCTTCTACCCCTAAAATTAGACATTCCCGATGAGGGTTGCACTCGTCCCAACCGATCGATGTATTGCTTCGAGGCTGGTAAGTTTTTTCTTTTCTCACGTCTTATCCAACTACATGCGTATAAACACGTATCGGCCATTATGTTACTCTTTTATGTATACAGCTTAACACGATCACTCAGCATCGAGACGCTGGGAACTATAACGCCGTGTCTCGTATATGCCGTAAATCATGAATTTTAGTACTCAACGTCTCACAGTGTGATTACACGAATCGACTTTCTAATCGCGCCGATTCGCGAGGAAAATTAATCGTTAACCGGTAGCGAGGGATTGCGTACAGACTTATTGATTTGTCGTGAGCTGCGTGCCGAGTTAATGACAACGCGAGATCCATTTATGTTGAAATTTCCTCACGGGCAGGATTGTTCTCGCTTACGAATGCCTATGTCTGTAATACATCTGATCTAGTCCAGGAGAACAGCCAGCCTAATCACAAGTATTCACCGCGTACTCTTGGCTTGTCCGACTGTACTTTGATCGTAATGGCTATATCATGGACTCGTTTAAGCATGGTTCGCGTGGGCAGGAATGATAATGCCGATGCGGTTAAGCATAAACTTGGTTACCTGGGGGCGATCGAGCTCTCGAAGGAAGGTGAAGACGCACGTCGAGGGTGAACGAATTTTTAAATCGGCCTCTGTATCACTCTTACTTGTTTACTTTGAAATCTTACTATCTATTTGTATATCTATAGCGGATACCTATACCGTGGTACTTACCAGGCAGACTACGTTCTTGATCTTTGTCCCGTGGGAGTAACAACTGTATGCGTGTTCCTTTTGCCTTTCTACAGGCGAGATTAGAGTGAACGAGCAGCTCGTACTCACTTGCATGCATACGCTGATGGCGAGAGAACACAACAGGGCTGCCAAGGCCCTCGCCCACGTGAATCCCCATTGGGACGACGAGACCATCTTCCAGGAGGCTAGGAGAATTGTCATTGCTGAAATTCAGCACGTTACTTATAACGAGTTCCTGCCGATTCTACTCGGCAAAGACGTTATGGAGAAGTTTGGACTTTTGCTTGAGAAAGATGTAATTATGTACCTTTGTCAGTTCTGGATTCAATACCTCGTGTAAGAGTGGACGATCGGATGTTGAATTGTATAAGTAGCATTTTGGTGAAGTTTCTTTTTTTTACTGGGATCCTAATTATATTTATATATTTTTCTTTTAGGGTTACTGGGACGGTTACGATCCTAGTGTGAATCCTGGAGTTTTGGACGCTTTTGCTTCTGCTGCTTTCAGGTTCGGTCACTCGCTTCTTCCTACGGCCGTTGAACGATGGAGCAAGGCTCACAAGTTTATTGGTGAGCCAGATGATTATGTAAAGGACTTATTATAATTTGTTTTTTGGGTCGTTTTATGCTTCTTCCTTTTTTTTTTCTCAGCATCGAAACGCTTGTCAGATTTAATCAGAAGGCCGTACGATCTTTATCGCGCTGGAGTACTCGATGAGTACTTTATGGGATTGATGAATCAAGTTGCCCAAGCTATGGACGATTCAATTACTCAGGAGGCATGTTTTTTTTTTTAAATTGCGAATAATACTTTTTTTTTTATTATGCATGGACTAATTTTTTTTTCTCCGTAGGTTACCAATCATCTGTTCAAGAAAGCTGGTGCGAAATTTGGCATGGATCTTGTCTCCTTCAATATGCAACGTGGTCGAGAATTCGGTATACCGAGTTACATGGAATTCAGGTAGGTTATGAAAGAAATGTGTATCAAGATAAAGTCTTAAGGATCGAAATTTGTTGAATTTTGGTAACTAATTTTTTTTTTAATTTTAGAAAGTTCTGTGGTTTACCCGGTGCCGACACTTTCGAGGAACTGTTTGGATCTATGCCAAATGAAACTATCACGCGTTATAGCACTATTTTCCAGTGAGCTAACTATATACCGTATTTATATTTATATTTTTATGAAGAAAATTAATAATATTTTATAATACCACGTAGACACCCTTCTGACGTCGATCTTTGGTCCGGCGGTGTCTCTGAGAAACCTTTACCAGGAAGTATGCTGGGACCAACCTTTGCTTGCGTCATAGCCACACAATTCAGTTATTCCCGTCGTGGAGACAGATTCTGGTACGAACTACCTAATCAGCCGTCATCCTTCACGCCAGGTAAATATGGAAAAACTGTTAATTAAAATGAATAAATAAAATTTACCGTATTAAAACCTCACATTTTTATCTTTCACGTGATCCTAGAACAATTGGCCGAGATACGCAAGTCGAGATTGGCTAGATTAATATGCGACAACACTGATCTGATCGACACTGTTCAACTATACCCTATGGTTTTGCCTGATCACGAAATGTAAATACTTATAAAATTTATCTAATTATATTTCTATTAATAATCATGAGACTATATAATGTGAAATTGTCTATCGATTTACAGCAATCCACGTGTCCCATGCCGAAGTGGTGTCCTACCAGGTATTGATTTCAGCAAGTGGGCCGAATTTCCGACAACGGGTCATGCAGCTCAATACGTGAGTAATCTAGCTGGCCAGTACGGGCACTTGGGTAAATAAGGCTGTTGAGTCGATCACCGTAAATAATAGTGCGCGTAGCTGAAAAACTTAACAAGAAAAGTCACGATTGAATCGCATTAGATCATTATGAAAATAAATCTACATACATATGCATGATAAGGACCCAAGGGCGAAAGAAGATTGCGCCATATGTTCTATCATTCTTAAATATTCCGCCATACCTTCGAATCAATGGATTATTTTGGTAAATGGATGACCTTCGTGAATATAAAATAGATTAACAATAATTTTGTTCTTATCGTAATCCTCGTTATTGTTATGACTAAAGGAAAGCCTATAGGAGCTACTTACAAGATCACGGAAATGCCAATTTACCATAATGATCTATTAGAAAATGATCCTGTGCGATATTCAAATGCTCATCATAATTTTATTACATCGACAATCTGAACGTTATTGATTAATTTTTTTTATATCGCACACGATGTTTTATATCTTTATATTGAAAGTTGGTTACAATTAGTTTAGAGATTATGCACTGTCATTTAAAAAAAAAAGTTAGTATCACAATTATCAGTAGATTATAGTGATTATCATCATGCTAATTTAATGTGTAGATATTTAAGCACATGCATGAGTATGCTGCCGTTAGCACATGACATAATAATGTTTATACGTGAAAATACCTGCCAAATACTCGACCTCTAGAATTAAACTGGTACGGCACTTCAATACCATATCATGCCGACATTCTCTAGTAAGTGCATCACTCGTTACAATAACCGATCAATGATAATATTTGGTAATGACCAACCAATAGATATTTCACGAGTCTCAAAAGGTGAAATATTTATTCGTCCATTCGATGGATCTTTACCCATTAACTGAGTCAAGTTTCGTAAACGAGTTTTCCATGCACCAAAGTGCATTATATCATTAAAAAATCTTATATTTACATTTTTTATCCTTTTTTCTTTAACTAAATCTATTATCATTTTCTCTTAGTATCATTATTCTGTCTGCGTCGATTGTTTCGCCTAGTCCGATACTCGAGTCGCTTTTTATTCATGACTTGACGATCCCGTAACGTAATGTCCCACTAAAGGAGCATAAACGACGAAGATGTTAAAATTCATCAGTCGTTCTTTCCTTTTACTGCATCAACGTAGCAATCATTTCTCGCAGAACGATACGTATTGGCTGAACTGTTTGGTGCTATTGTACCATAAAGAAATGGTATAAAGATGCAAGAAAAAATTTGGCGACTTCATATATACATGAAGGCTATACGTTCGAGGCTATTACAAGAATTTTTGAAAAATTGACAATGCTCAATATCAAAAATCTTGTTACTTTATACGTGACGATTATGGTTATTCTATAATTGTTTTATCAGCATGGAAATTACAGTTTTTCGGTACAATTTTTTTTTTAGTATTTATATCATTATCATCTATTAGAAATTTACATAGATAGTCAACTTAACATATAAAAAACTGTTTGAACTGTATCTATAGATATTTGAAAATCTTTCTGCCCCCACCCCCCACCCCCAAGAGAACTTTCATTAAGGGACTATAGATAGTCTAATGATGCATTATCGGAATTACATATAATGTACTAAACCTATTGTACCATAGCGATTGGTGGAGGAACATTTGCTTGACTTGCCGAGAGCCTCGGTGAGGCCCAAAACGGTACAGCTCGGCCACGTTAAGCCAGTCTCGCAAATCTTCTTTGAGAACATTAACAAGATCGCCACGTATCTCGAGTTCGCGGGCAAGTAAGACCCATCGGGCCTGATTCCTGATCGCAACTACACTCATCCCTATTATCACCACTCAGCACTATCAACATTATACACATTGGATGCATTCAGTTGACACTGCACTCGTATGCACTTTGGATCCCGGATCAGTTCGAAATTAATGGACTATGATAATCAATGAAAATGACGAAAGAATTTTATCGAATTGATCAGTGTTTACGTGAAAAAAGGAACATCGATTAGGAACGTAATACATTGAAAGATTAAGCGATCATTTTTTATACTTTTGAGGTGTATAATTTTCCTCCGCGTCCACGTGTCGTAATTGTCCATTAATTTAAATGGTTTGTTTAGCGATTCGAGGGCCAATTACTTAAGGAGCATATACATAGTTAATATATGACACTTATGAGTGCACAGTGTGTACGCGTAACGATTACAGTAATTTACCTAGTTAAAGTATTATCTTATGAAATAATGTAAATACATCTTTCTCGACGTAGTAATTTGTTTATATTCATCATTGTACATAATAAATATCGTTGTATAATACAAAGCAGTGTCTCTCTCGCGAGAATGCCGTCCATCGAAATACGGGATTCTGAATTATCAAATAGATAAGATCCACGGTGTTGCGCTTACACGGTGAGATATGCACTGCGATTGTAACTAGAATACTCATATATCGTACGTACGAGACGATAAATACACAGTAGATATATTTATTTTCTTACTCGCCCTCCCAATTTTCAGTTACCATAAACACAGTTATCGTATGACGTAAATGCAATAAATAGTAACAGTAACGACTCGTATGTAGAAAATGTACCATTGCTGTCATTCACACGACTGCCATGTCAATTTTGTAAGCATTCGATTGTATCAGGCATATGCAATTACTTGCACGATGCACTTGAGGAACTTAGGGAAAATCCAGCTGTAAGTACGTAGTGGAAAATTGAAGGGGAGGACACTGTCACTTATGCAGAATATACACTGGGTAAGGTACAACAGCATATAGTAGCATTAAAGTGGAATAAATTTTGAAGTATTTTTTTTATATTGTATCCTATAGCGCAAGATGAAAGAATTAGGTGCGGAGTCCGTACCACCATTGGTATACGCCAGAATGCTTGGATCCAGTTGGATGCCAAAAGTGCAGAATGAAAATCTGCCATGGGTCCATGCGCTTAATCGTGCCGATGCAATTAAGAGGAACAGGGCTTTAATGAAGTATCATCAGAATTTGAGGCAAAACAGAAGAATTGATTATCGATCGTTGATTGACATTTTACTAAACCGAGATTTACCTATGTATATGTCCATGATGACGAACAAAAGGACCGTTAGAAGATTTTCGCCCAATCCGCTCGACTATCTGAAGGCAGCAAGGGAACTTCCGGTAAAGAAAACTGGTCCTGCGGCCAAGGGACCAAGGGAGCAGAATAACATATCGGAGGACATAATAAAAATTACAACCATAATAGAGACTGTTCGTCGTAGGAGGAAAAGAGATGCCGAATCCGGTAAAAAGAAGAGTAACGAATCTGTGTTTATGAAGTCATTGAAAGAGACGGAGAAAAGAAGGAGGGAAGCTGTGCCGGGAAAGACTTTAAATAGGAAGAAGAGGTCTTTACCCGATCAGCAGTATAATATTTCTGCATTGAATGTACAGGAAACGAAGGAAATACCAATTAAAGAAATCGACAGAAGTATACCGATAAAACGTGCAACGGTGACACCGGAAATACCGATAATACCGTATATACCGTTATTGCCGCCAATGTCCGAAAATAAGAATTTTCTTGATTTTTCGGTACTAGAGTCGATTCTTAATGTTAGGAAAAACACATCGACTCCAAAGTATACGCGAGTTTTCCGCGAATGCAAGGATGATGCGGCTGCCGAGATTGCCGATCTGAACATCCCGCCGCCGAAGCCAAAATATATAAAACGAAGAAAGCCGATAATTCCCGATATTGATTTTCCACGGACACCGATTGTGCTGCCACCTGCAAAGGCTCTACAGTCTGCTGCTGTATCGACTGCGGGAAAGGAAGCTACGAGGAACATGAGCTATATCAATCTGCAAGATCATCAGAGTAACGGACAGACGCCTGGTATGACGAAAGATGCTAATGGCTACCCAGCTGATATTCCAAAGTATAATCCTCAGAATATACCATACGTCGATGTACCAGATTACACTGATCGACGTGAAGAGAGCTTGGATGAGGATGATCGTCGTGTGGCCAAGGAGAAGTACGAGGATTACGATGACGCGAATGCTGATGCCGTCGATCCCGGAGCACCTTCGGAGGACGGAGAACGATCTGAAAAAAATGCAGATGCGCATGTTAATCGTGAGGCTGGAGGAAGAGAGCAGAGTGATGATGATGACGATGATGATGATGGTGAGGAGGAGAAGGAGGAGGAGAAGGAGGAGGAGAGGGAACGACCACGTGTTCGGGATGAACCTCAACAGGTTTCCAGGAGCCAGGATGATGAAGCGGATGAGGAACAGGACGAAAGACCATCCCGTGTTCGTTACGAAGACCCACAGGTGAGGAGGAACCAGGACGATGATGAGGATGAAGAAGCGCCATCACGGTTTGAGGATACTGAACCTAATAATCGAAACGAAAGTAAGGATGAAGAGGATGATGAAGAGGACGATGATAAGGAGGAATCACAGAAAGTGAAGACGGAACGGATAACAAAGGCTGAATATGATGCAGTGCATTTTGATATCAATGAATATAAAAAACCTTTTAATTTGGAAGAATTTCTCAAGGAGGAATTATTCTTTGAGCCGGATGAGAAACCGGCGAAGGGCGAAGACATTAATAAGCATGAAAGCAGCAAAAATATTCATGTACGCGAAGGTCTTAAGTCTGCCGGTCAGAAAGATAATTCAAACATTGAAATTCCTAAGGATTTGAATTTGGATATTTATAAGGGCGAAGAGTCTGTGGTACCCGTTGAACGTCATGGACGAGTCGCACGAGCTGATCGGACTGATGATGCTGAAAAAGTTGAGGCCAAGGAAGATGATGACGAATCTGCTGAATATTCTAGTGAATCGGATGATTATAAGCAAGAGGGAGAAGATGATGTTGAGGAAAAGATTGTCTCTGATGAAGAATTCAAATATGGGGATAAGGACTTCTTCAAAGCAATTGCCAACACTAAAAACGGAGAGTTTCTGCACTTGGACAATGACGATGACTTCTTTACGCGCACTTTTGGTCCTGAGATCGCTGCACGATTAAGAGAACCTTATATAAAGGAGGACGACGAGGATGACACCGAAAAGACTGACGAAAGTAAAACAAATGAAAAAACCAACACCGAAGAGTACAAGGCACTGTCGAAAATTTTGAGTAAAAAGGATGATGTTTCGAGATTAAATGAAGATATAAATGAAAAAGTAAAAAAGGGCGAGGAGGTGCCACCAGAGTACAGGAATGCTTGGACTCTGGAATATGAATTTCCAGAAAAAAAGAAGGAAGACGTTCCAGAAGTAAAGGATAAGAAGGATTAAATAAGTTTATAATAGTTATGTTTAACTTTTAACATTGTTATATAATTTTGAAATTATAACCACAACAACGAAATCAAAGTATTGAATTGTAATGGACTTAGATTACATAAAAGATGTTTTAATGTTTGTATCCACTGCACTGTACATGCCAATAAAACGGTATTTTCAAATAATTTGAAAAAAAAAACCTATTTCATTTTACTTAATTTTGCCAGTATCATCGGTACAAGTCTAGTTCCTTTTAATTGCTCGAAGGAGAGGATGCCAGCAGGACCAATATCCAGTGATTTCCTTAACCTAAGTGCAGGAAATCATTTAATTGAATTTGAATGGGATTTCCCCATGGATGGTAAATCTGGAATTCTGAGAGTATATAAACCAACCTCGGAACACTATCCAGCATCAGTTAGCCCATTTCTGTACCGAACGAGAGTAATCACAGTCCCGATAAACAAAAGCTCGCATCAGGTATGTAAAAAATTTTAAAAAATCTATAAATAAACCAAACTTATCCCTATACTAAAATTAAACCAAAATTTTAATACCAACTACAGCCTCTTTGTTTATCCTAGAGGTCCCAATCGGCTTCATCATTTCCTGTTCTTACTTAGTTAATGAAATAAAAAAATATCCATATTTATTAAACGTCTTCCCCATGACGTTAAACTCGAATGCGGAAGCATGTGAATTCCGGTTATAAATGTGTAAAAAAAGATGACACGACCATTACGGATACGAAGTGAAGAACTAAACAGCCTTCGAGTGATCCTTTCAGCATCGATATTCGGATTATTAATTATACGCAGTTTTACATATTCCAATATCTTTCCGCCTCTTAAGAAAGACGCAAAGATGCTCGAGCCTACTAACGGCGTGACAACCGCGACCGCTTAACGTCGCCATCTCTTTATCTATCCTAATAAAATCGTATTTTGCTACAATTTTGTATCCTGATACCGTTTATATCCCATCAACCCGAAGAAGGTAAAGAATCATCCATTTCTCACATTCACCGTGACGCGTTTCTAGAATTGAGAACTGGTACCGCTAATCAAAATACGTCAATTCACATCAACGTTAAGTAGAAACGGCACAAGTGACTCAGAGACTAGCGGATAAAATGACTACGGGGAAACCCGTTACTGAAAGTTTACCAAGAACCTGTGCACGCATTTATTATTGATACGCCAAAACGACTGTCATCCCGTTAATCTAAAACGGATTATAAATCAGTCTTTCATACCTATGTTATCCTTTATTTGCATTCATATACGTGTATCGTTGTTCCAGTCATGAACACCCAAACACGTTATGCTCTTCTGCTCCTCGTCGCCATTGCTGTTCTGATCTTGTCCACATCTGCAGGCGCCAATCAAATTGGTATGTGAACTACGATTTAATCGAGATGATCAAGTTAGTCTTTAATATAGATATATATGAAAATTATATATTAATAACATTACGTTATTGCATTTCAGGTGTTTGTATAAGAAATTGTGCTCAGTGCAAGAAAATGTTCGGATCCTATTTTGAGGGACAACTTTGTGCCGACACCTGTGTCAAGTTTAAGGGTAAAATCATTCCTGATTGCGAGGATGCCAGTTCCATTGCTCCCTTTATCACTAAATTGGCAGACGATTAAGCGGTTCCTACGGAAGGGCTCTGTTGGAATTTTCTGACATATTCTCATTATCGCGATCGTACGTTATTGCTTGTCTTTTACGGTTTTACTTTTACTTGGCGCTGATGGATATTACGTAGATTTACGGAATGGTTTTGAAACCGAATGTGTATGTGCATTAAATATTTGTCTATCGTCGCTTACCAACATGATGGATCAAACAAACTGACGTTACTGCCAACACTGTTTATAGAAATGTATGGAAAGATGTGATGGTTTCCTAATGTATTTATTCGGCAATTATTCACGTTGCCGCACTGTATTTCAATGCTTCGAATCTAGTCAAAAATATTGAGATATTATATAGAATAAGTCTATCATTTGCCATTGCAGTTATCATTTCAATGAAATATAACTCGCCGACGTTAACATATTTATATATTATTTAATGTCTGTACTTAGAAAGAGTATGTTACAAAAAGAGAAACATACACCTGGCTACATGTACAAACAATTAAAGACATAATTATTCACTCAAAATCAGTTTTTTCATTTTCATGTCCTCCTCATTAGTTATTATGCAAAGAAGTAGAGGTAAAAGTTAAAGAGACCTATATACATATAATATGTGTATATGCATTTTAATGTACAATTCTTTTCACATATAATACATCTACGTACAAGACAAATTACATGACAACATAATATTCTAAAAAGTATGACCGATGTCAATGATACTTTCAATTTGAGTATTCTGTCACTCTATAAATTATACTTTGTTAATTAGTTTACAAAAATGATTATTCATTAGGTTACTGTTCTTGTGAAATTAGTATATATTACAATAAATTAACTGACACAGATATAATTCATAAAATCATGCTATTCCAATTTCTACCCCTTTTTACATCAAGTTGTTAAGGTGGTTCGATCACTAGATGCATTCTTACTACTTTTATGATTATGATAATCGAACCACCTCAGGTTGGTATTCGATCCCGAAGATACGCTAGAATTTCTTCAGTGCCCTTCATCAATGTAGCTTGCCTTGGTTGTTTAAAGTAATTTCCGGATAAGAGCAAAGTCCTGAAAATACGATGCAGTGTATTATTTCCCCATATATGTACATTGCAATCAGCAAATAAAATTCTAATTAAAAGTTGGGCAGCAACTCAACGTGTATAATTATCCGATAAATTACCTGAGATTTTTCAGATTACCAAGTTCTGGTGGTACGAATACAATATTGTTATTCGAAAGATCTAGTGTTGCAAGCCTTCGAAGCTTACTTAATGATGACACATCAATAAGTGATAGTTGATTATTTCCTACCGTTAATATCTCTAATCTTTCTATATCATAAATACAATCAGGTAACTTCGTAAATCTGAAACACATATAATTCTTTGGTGCTGGTGTAAAAATTTAAGTTATCGCTATGTTCTTGATAAATACCTGTTGTAGGAAATATTAATTTCCAGCAAATATTCCAGTAGACTTATACTGGCCGGAAGTGACGATAAACGATTATTGCTTAGATCTATAAATCGCAGGTGTTTATATTTCTCGCCTATCCAATCAGGCAATGATGATAATTGATTACACCTGAGTTTAAGATCTGTAATCGTTGTCACTATCGACAAATTATCTTGTAAATTGCAAAATTTATTTCTACTTAAATCAATGCACGTTATTTGAGCTTCACTGGCGTCCTCCAAAATCGCTTGCGGTATTTCCTGTAAATTCTGACCAGTTAAGCTTAATAATCTTGTGTTCCTCATAACGTACCTGTAAAAATAATTTGTTTTGCTTTTACGTAGAAAATTAAAAAGCATTAACGTATCCCACGCTCGTACTTGTCTGGAAATATACTGTCGTTAGCATTCAATGAAGAAAATCCCCTAGATTCGACATTTTCCATTTCTATGCTTTCCCGTAAATGTCGAAGTATGCGGTGTGTACCACACTGTATTATATCTCTTCTTAAATTTTGTAATTTATTACCGTCAATAACAAAGTTTTGTAAGTTGGGCATTATACCGATACAACCAGGCACTCTGGAAAACGTTCGATTTTAATTTTTCTTTAAAATACATAAACACTGAGTAATAAGAAACATAACAAAAAATACAAACGTGCAATACTGAAACTTAAAATATAATTACTTTATGCCTATAGAACCAGCATGCAGTGCTCCAAAACCGTCTGCATTAAAGCTTTATCTTTGGTATTATATAAGGGTTATGATTTCCAGGTCATGTAATATGCAAGCAGGGATTCCATCAGCAGTACGTACTTCGAAATATTATTGCAAGACAAGTCAAGCCGCTCCAAGTTAAGCAGTTGTACAATTTCTTCCGGAATTTCTTTGATTTTATTGTTTGCTAACGTCAAAGTTCTTAATTGTCCCATACTTTCCAAACCCGAGACATCTATCTCCTGTAGATTATATCAATTGTATATTCGCGAGAGTTCAACGATTGGAGATGATAAAATCGTATGTGGATTTTTAAATTAAAATTCATTGCCGACACACGATATACCATAAGTGTATGAAAAATTGATGAAAATCGTGTGTGCAATGCGATGACTTTTTGGTTTTTGCTGAATGGCGATAAAATGTTGTGTTTATACAGTCTTTAAATGTATATCAGTTTCTATTACGTACATCAATGCTGTTGTTTGCCAGATGAAGCTCGCGCAAAGCTGCGCAACCCGTTGTATCGGGAAAATTCTTTAAATTATTTGTATGAAGTACCAACACCTCCATGTGTCGCAACTCACCAAATGGTGGCAATATTTCCAAGTTGTTGGAATTTGCATCTAGTTTTTTTAATACTGTGCAAAAGGATATAATAGATTGATGAGTAATTTAATATACCATTATACAATCACTACGATATGCCCTGTACTGTACAACATGCATTGTAATTTCTTGTATTTCACAGTGCTATACATATACATATACAAGTTCACCTTGTACAATTATACATATAAAAAATACACAATGTGTGATTGACATACCACCCACATGCCTCTGTACAAAATATTTACAACATTCTCTGACTAATTCACATTTTGTGAACAACATATAGTATGTATATTCTTGTCAACTGTACAGTCATTAAATTCAAAAAAAGATGAACTGAGAATTGAGTATTTTGTAATCTATTTAATCAATCTAGAATATACATTTAATCAACTTAGGAATGAAGGCAAACCGTGCAATTTCTATTGTAGAGAACTTAAATGTATGCTATTTGTTTTCTAATTTGTATGCTACTTGTATATGTTGTCTTAAACACACCTCGCATGCTCGTTATGTCGGGTGGCAACTCTTTCAACATATTGTGACTTATGTCAAGAGAGACCAAACGCACCAAGTATCCCATTCCGATAGGCAAGCTGATTAGGTTGTTACAGGATAAGTTCTACATGAATAGTAAATCGAAATGTTTAACACATTTGCTTTTTGTAATTTTGTAAAAATTTTAGTAAAGAATGTACCATGTAATCTAGCATAATTAAATCACCAATAGCAGGATCCAGCTCCTTTAATAAGTTGTTTCTCAAATCCAAATGACGTAGCTCCGAGAGGTTGTAGAAGTTGAGGGGTAAATGTTTTATTTTGTTAAAGGAGGAATTCAGTTTGCGGAGTTTACTTAAATTACCGATTTCGGCTGGTAACGTTTCCATGATGTTATCGTGAAGCTGAGAAACATTGTTTATGTCAACAACGTGTTTAGAATTAAAGAATGTTCTACTATTGAAGGGTCGAATTAGAGATCTGTGGGATTTTTTAAACAAAGGAATTTTTAATATCAGTCAAATTGACTGGGGTAAGTTTTCGGATTTAACCACTTTTTAAATTTTTTATGTTAAACTCGGGAATTATCAATAGATCGTAACTTCTATAACGTGGAATCAGGAATTTGTTATAATCAAAGCGTATAAATAACACAGAAAAATGACATAAGTACGTACATCCAATATTGAAAGTTCAGACAGAAACTCAACTTTAGGGTCAAGTTCTGTAAGACTGTTAGAACTCAAGTCTAATATCTTCAGTGGTTCTTGTTCCCACCATTTTTCTTTGTCATCATTAAATTCTAAACCAACATCTAATTGCCTTATTTCCTCAGGTGTTAATTCATTAATAGACCAGACTCTGTTTGGTACTGTAAAAAAAATATGGTGCGTAAATGCACTATGTCGCTAATTTTTGGAAAAACAAAACGTAAACTTGTTTGTACTCTAAAAATAATTAAAATTGATCAGTTGCAAATTTTTAACAAGTGTTCTTGTGATATACATTTTTAGACAGTTATAATAAATAAAAATGATGTGATATGATTTTGTTGCGGAAAACGCATTGATCAGTGATTGCATAACCAATAAAATATGGAATAGGTTATATTATTGTTGTGACGCAAATCAAATCAATAAGGGCAATTAAAAAAGAAAAGGAAGGAAGCGTTTTATTACCTGTAGATAGCCCCTTGGTAGAAAGGTTTAATTGTCCTGTTTTTCTGGCGGAAATAACCATGTCTTCAGACAATTCCGCATTATCGTCATTTTTTGTTCGCGGTTTAAATACCGAACGATGATTAATTCTGTTTCGCGTCACGCTCATTTTACCGGATTTCATAATATTTTTATCTTGAGGGCTTGGAGATTGTTTAACTTATTATGTGCAAATATGCGCAATTTCACGAACATAACACAAGCCAGTGTTAGAGCCATACTGCTTGTGGAAGGAGTAGGTTCATGGCGGGTTTACATGAGATAAATTCGACACAGAGCTTATGTAAAACATAACGCACAGAAACTCATAAGTTGAAATGAATAAATAATGCAAAATGCTAATTAAACTATTCTAGAATTTTTACTAACATTTTTATATACATTACAGGTGTTATTTAACTTTCATATGATTTTGACATTTCTGTTATAGCCTCTTCTTCACGTAATAATTTGTCATAGAAACAGGTAAATGCTTTCATTTCTCTATTAGTTATAAAGACTGCAGTTATCATATGTGCGCAAACCAAATATGGTAGTCGTGAAATAAGTGGTTTTGTCACTTTCTTGAATAAAGTCAAATGTCCTTTGAAATCTTTAATTTCAGGTATTCTCACAGTTGCGTATCGCAGAGCAATCTACAACATATAATAATACAATAAATTGTTATAAGAAAAAACATTTAAGTGGAAGAACATAACATTTAGTTTAAAAGATAAAGTAAACTTTAGAGAGAGATGTTTCCTTATAGAAATAAAGTTTACCATTATGTTGCCTATAGGCGCTAATCCCATGGGATACAAAATACCAGCTGCTAGTTGAATACCCACTGCTCTTGAATAGAGACAAAGCGGACACGGTACTGTTTGTAGAAGAATTTCATCGGTTACACACTGAAATATTCAATAGTACAATCATTAAATATAAGTTGATTATAAATAATAAATTAATAATAATTCAAATCAATGTAATTCAGATATGTTGCAATTTTGGATAACTGGTAAATCTTACTTTCCTCTGTAGTATGAATCCTAGAAAAGTGGGTGCAACTGTTAAAGGTAAATATGAAGCTACTCGACCATACTGCTTAAGCCGATATCCTTGTCTAAAACAACTGTTAATATACATGGTTGATGCTCCTGCAAATATACTTAGCATTGGTAGTCCATATCGAAAAGGCCACCTTTAACAAAAAGCATGTATGTAAAATATGTTAACACATATTAATCCATGTACTTTAATGAAGTATACACAAAATTATAACTGAACACAAAATAACTAAAGATTAATAATTATAAAGAGCTTCAGATGTGTTACAATCTATATTAATTTGTATATTGAATCAATTTCATGTTAAAACTGCACGTATAACTATTAATTCAATGAACTTTATTAAAAACATGAGTATTATAATAAACAAAAGGTTATATTTGAATTACATTTCATATTTTGGCTGATAATCAAATATGTAATTCCATTGAAATCGTATTGCTTCATTAGTGTCTAAAATCACAGCGTTCTTAGGAAGATCTTCACTTGCCCTTCTTAATACAGCCATTATAGCAAAACTATTTTAACATTTTCTAATAAAACTCCAGCAAACTCCTGTAATGCAGACGACACGTCCAACATACCGGCTTCTGTAATGGACACAGAGATGATACATAAGTTAGGCCGGATTTTCATTTGACGAAGCAACAACGACGATAAAGAAAACGAAGGATGTTATTGGTTTAAAAAATATCCTCTTTCATAGTTGGAAATTCCTAGTTAAGGACTAAATATGGTTGGTATAGTAGAATCTTGTGTGAGAAATAATCTTTTTAAATGCCAATAAAGACCTATGAGTTACCGCGCTGAAGAAATCGTGAACTTGTGATGGATACATTTATAAAGAGATATGTCAGATTTACTCATTGCAAGATGTAAGCGTTAACCATTTTGCCAGGCTTTACTTAAAGGAATGAAGAATATCGTGCCCGTGCAATACGAACTAGTAGGAATTGAATTTACTATACTTCGTCAATGGAACCTTGCTTCTAAATCAGGGATATATCTTACGGATAAAAACTGCTTAGGTTATGGAAAGGGAATGTGATAAAATACTTTGAAAATATTATCAAGAAACGCTCTGCGTACTCATAGAATCTCTTAGGAAAGTGACAGTCGAAAAATGCAGTGCCAAATCGACGATTTACCTGATGAGATCTTGGAGTATATTTTGAGCCTTATACCACCATACAAAGATCTGCAGAAATGCTTGCTTGTTTCAAAAAGATGGTTCCGAGCAACAAAAAGTACATAATTTTTTCTCGTTATATAATAATCATGTTGATAGTATATCTTGGAATGTTTTGATTGTGCAGATGTTATAGAACATAATGAAGCTCATTTTCAAAAAGCTGTAGCTTTTGGATCTTTATTTTGGAATACCTGGCCCTGCGTATCTTGGATACACACTATTGGCAAGAGACATTCTCATTCAGCTTGCATATATGAAAATTCCATGTATGTGTTTGGAGGATGCACTGTCACATGCACTACATTCAATGATCTATGGAAGTTAGATTTAGATACAAGGCATTGGGACAGGCCAATTACAATGGGCAGTTATCCATCTCCAAAAGCCTGTGCTACCATGCTATACTATAAAAAAAGTTTTGTTCTCTTTGGTGGTTGGACTCATCCTTCTCCATATCCACTACATCAGGTAATACATCATTAAGCATACATAGTGTCATACTCATTTTTATAACTATAATTTCAAATAAATCTTTGAATTTATTTATCATTTTCAGCAATTGAAACAATTTAACGAATTACACATATATTCGATAGAGTCTAACAGATGGATAGCGATTAATGTATTAGAAGGCCCACCACCAACATCTGCCCATTCAGCCACTATACATGGAAATTTAATGGTCGTGTTTGGTGGTGTTGCCAATGGATACAGGTACATTTATTAGTACAGTTATAAAAACATTATTGTAGCTATAAATTATGCAAGTGCATATTATAAAGGATATGCATAATGCAGGTTGCTTTGTATTATTTTGAGGTAGTTCCAATGACGTTTGGTGTTTAAATTTGGACACATACTGCTGGCATAAACAGGTCACATCGAATTTAAAACCACAACCAAGATATGGACAGTCCCAAATTGAACTTGGTGATAAACATCTCCTTGTGTTGGGTAGAAAAATCCTTATATTAGTATATTGCTGTTTTTCAATGTTTTATCTGTTTTTGTTTTATTTAAAACGATCATTACAATAGCTCTAACATACAGGAGGATGCACTGGTCCAAATGTGGCAATGAATGATGCATGGCTATTAACAATGGATGGCCCAACTTGGACCTGGAAAAGAGTGAATATGCAACATACTGAATGGGCTCCAACGCGGATTTGGTGCCATCAAGCTTGCAAGGTGACCACTAATCGCACATTGATAATTTATAATAATATATTCTCTAAGATTTCCACAACTCGAGCTGGTTTCCGTTTATTTTTGCTTCCAGGTTGGAAACTATGTGATTGTTTTGAGCAAGAATAAACAACAAGCTCAAACTAGTGACATGAGTATATCACTAGGTAAGGTCGCATGTCCACGACCTCAACCACCACAACCGACGTATCCAATACCTCCATATGAAAGGTTCGTACTAAGTCTCATTTATTCATTTACTATCTTAGAAAGTCTAAATTCCAAATGTTCTAATTGTTCAATTAGACAAAGAAATCCCCCGCGAATAGACCGTGATGAAAACGTGAATGGAAGACATGGTTCATTTCCAAGATCAGCTGCCACTCGCAATGCACATTTGCCCTCATCCTCAGGATCCTCATTGTCAAAGGCCTTTGCCTTTTCACCTTTCCACAGTGAAAATTCTTTGAGCATGGCAGCCTTTCGTGAAGAAACTCCCCGTACTGGTAGTAATGCCAATAGACAACGTCAATTGGAATCTCTTCGACGAATGGAGGAGAGGATTCAGAATCGTAAAAGTCAATCAAAAATCGTCAAGAAAACAGAGAACACACTGGCAATATTTATTTTAGACGTGACGAATGTTATTTGCGAAGAATCTTCTGCTTCCTGGATTCCATTGAAGCAAAACGATCTAGCAGGACCGGATGAGCGCATCCTTTATTCTCTCGTTTTAGGTAGAGGAGAACTAATAGTATTTGGTGGAATTGGCAAAGAACAAGCTACGGTGCAAGGACTTACCGATACCGACGACTTAGAAGTTTATAACGATCTCCACTTCATAAACCCACCGCGATACATAATCTAAAATGGGATACTTTAAATTGTTATTTCTCTGACTTAGGGATTGCAAATATAATTCAGCAGTGATGCGTCATAATTTGAGGGACTTTTGATGAAAAAAGACTCGACTATACGACAGATGAAATAATCGGCCCAATATTGGACCCCTGTACTAGTACTAAGAGCCACAACGTGTGCGAGAGATGGAAATATAGTTTTCTATGGGTGTTCGGAAAGCGGTACGGGAGTCTGGTGCTGGGACGTTTACCTCGTCGTCAATTTAAAATAAACACGTTTCATTATTAAAAATTGTATATTATTAACACCGATCTTGCGCTGTGAAACTATCCTGTGAATCAGTTATCAATTCCTTCATCTTCCTTAGTCTTCAAGCTACCGAAAACCTTAGATGGAATTGCTTGCTTTTCGACTGGTATATCTATAACACAATTCAATAGGTTATTAACGGAAAATGGATGCATTAGAATTTGGTTTCGACTAATGAGAGATATTTTACTCAACACTGTTCTAATCACTGAAAGTTACCTTCGTCCACTTCAGCTTCGTCATTTTCATTTTCTCCGTCAGTATCCATGTCCAGATCACCAGCATCAAAGTCAATAACGTCTGGATTAACGACACGAGCCTCAGACTTTTCCCCTCCAACTGTAACTCCTCGGACGAACTGAATACCTTCCTTGCTCGTAACAGGTGTGGCAGCATCTAACACAGGAAGACAGTTAATATGATGTGGCATAAATGAATTCTTAAACGACTGTCTAATAAAATACCTGCTCCAGAAGATGCTTTGCTATCTAAGAGACGCATAGCGTCTGTCTGCTGTTCACTAGGTGGATTTGAAGCAGTATTTAACATCTGTGCTGACATCATATTTACTTGAGTATTATACATAGCTTGAACGCTACGTTTAATCCTAAGCATCTCACGCATTGTATCCTCATTCCCATGACGAATCTCAAATTCTTTCCATACTTGCCAGAAGTTTGAAGTGACCTGTACAAAAGGTGGATTTTATGGGATTTGAGTCAATAATCATTAAATACCAATTACTCACTCTTGGGTCGCAAATTTGACTGCAGTGAGCGTAGATTGCGCGCGCTCTGTCAACTTCGCCTAACTTTGTTTCCATTTCAGCAAAACGTAGACACATTTCCCTCGTATTTTCTTCATTAAGAACTTCAATTGCCTTTTCATAGATCTGTCGAGTCTTCGGTACGCCATATATATCCGCAGCCTTTTTAATGTATATATTAAACATCTGCAAGAAAGTTAAATGAGCACGTTGTTCTGAGTTATTTTACGATAGAAAAAATCAAATTATTTTACCTCGAATCTTTGTTCTGGTAAAACAGCACTGGTGGCACGCTCGTAAACTGACATTGCATGTCTTGCTAAACCATGGTCCTCCTCCAATTTTGCATAAAGCAGATATAGTGCTGTGATAAGATAAAAACATATAGTCCATGAATTCTTTGTTTTTATGCATGCACATAATTTGAAATTAATTATTGAATGAGAGAATTACCCTTAGCATATTTGGGAGGGCAGTATTCTAGACACTGCTCGAACAAGTCACGCGTTCTTTCGACTTTTGTTCCACCATATCTCTTTAAGAATTTTGTCAGGTACGTGTTCCATATATCGTAAACATTGGGCCACTTAAATAGAGCAATTCCTTTCTCATATGCCTAAATGAGCAGAACGAGTTAGTCTAATTACTATTGTATACTATACAATATTTCAGTAGGGTGTGCGAAGTATTTCTCTTCTACTCACCCTAAAGGCTTCCTCAAAGTAATTATTCTCTTCCAAAAATAGACCATAATTAATAATGATTTGGGGTGTGGCTATTTTCAAGTCTATTATTTTGTCGTACACAGCTTTACATGTCTGTTCAGAAATATTAATAGAACTTATGTATTATCAATTTCAAGAAATGGAGTATGGATTGCATACCTTGAATGTGCCAAAACTCTCCTCAAGATCAGCATACATGGACCAAACTTTTAAAGATTTATACAACCGCATCTGAACAGTTTCTGTTTCATCATGATAAGCAACTTTACGCGAGGGCATTGCTGTTGCACGATGCATAAGTTTGAGCGCTTCTTTGCAATTGCTATAATAAATATTGTTTATTTCATATATCAGTTATGTCAAGGATATCGACTGAAAATTATTACTGAGAAATATTTTACCCATGTCTTATTTCCATTTCAGCCCATTCACACCAAACTGAAGCTAAATCATCCACTTTTGTATAAGGAACGTGCGTTGCCTTTTCGAGCACAACTCTAGCGTCTGGAATCTGCCCATTTTCTTCGTAGAATTTCGCAAATGCAACCCATAACGTGTGCAATTTTCCAACAGCCAGTTGAGGTTGAACTGTTTGCACAGCTTCCGTGTAGGTGTTAATTATCTAGCAACATAATATTTGATAACAATAGGATGATCAATTACATATCAATAACTCATATTTTTGTATAATCGTACCTCGTGCGGTTGACCTTCATAAAGCATAACTCTCTTATGCCATTCTTGTACATTGTGCGGATTCTGTCGCAGTAAAACGGAATTCAGCAATAGTAATCTCCGTTCCATAAGGTGTTCGAATCTTGCTAGTCGCAACTCTAATTCTATATCATCTGTGAATGAAAGGAATGTTAACAATTCTTGTTTACATAATATTTTACTTACCTTATATTACAAAGGAATATAAAATACCTTCTTCCGTTGGATTAGGATTATTTGCAGCTTCTTCCATACGTTTACTAAGACTCAGTTCCTCAAATTGTGCATAGGCATCAAAGACTTGAGTAAAGTCACGAACAGTGGTTACCGTTTGAATGGCTTCTTCATAAATATCTCTAGCCTGCTTGACACATTAGATTCTTATTTTTCTTACCCATACAAGAACAGAAAGAAGAGAATTTATACGAACCCGTTCAAAGAGACCGCTACGAACGTAGTAATCAGCGAGAGAATTCCAGAGAGGTCCTAATTGATCAGTATAACGTCTCAGACCTCCTCGGATAATAGCATCTACGTTGAGGGATTTAATTTTTGAAGGATTTTTGGATATTAAATCACATAGTTCATTCCAAAGCTGGTGATTAGATTTTCCATGTTTTGAGACAAAATCATCTTGATTAACAATCTGTGCTAGCTTGACAGCTGCTTCATCAAGTCTCCCAACTGAGATCAAATACTCTATATATTCCTCTGTGTCTTCAGGTGCTAGCTAATTCAAACCAAATAGAATGAAGTTTAATTGCCATATTGATTAAATTTTTTGAGTATGCATCAAAATGGAGTACCTTTAGATATCGTCTAAAAACTCGTACAGCAGTTTCATAAACATTATGTTTCTTTAGAAAATCAATATAAAGAGGCCAAATACGGTGGTGCTGTGTTATTGGGAGTGCTCTTAAAGCACGATCAAACACCTGACGAGAACGTGTGATATAGCACTGTTCTGTCATAGATGTGCAGTAATCCATCCATATTCGGGGCATCTTGTGCATGAAAACCAATGCTCTTTCAAATGCATTGTTCACATCTTCGTACAGAGGATCTGTTATACAGCGGCCTTTCAACTGACTTACACGTTGCCGAAGATAATTATACCATATTTTATAGCTGTTGGAAATTAATGAATTAAAGACAAAATCCTGAGGTTGAAACATAATTTTCCATAGTCTGTAGAAAAATTAATAAAATTTGTTTACCTCCCAGGTAACTCCTTCAGAGCACGCTCATAGACAACATTTAAGTTACTACTTTTGGTACTCTTCAGATGATCTATATAACGTTGCCAATGTTTAACAGAATATGGATTTCTTAAAATTTCTTCTTCATAGGGTAAGTCTTCTTTATTCTGTTATAAAGTAATATGTACAATATTTTTTTACTGCAAAAACATGATTTTAATATTTTGTAACAAGTGCTTAGTACTCACAATAGGTATATCCATAAAATTATTATCTTCGATATCATTTTTCCCAATCATGATATCGATTTTGGATTATTTTTTGTCAAGTTTTAAAAAAGCACTTATAGAATATATGAAAGAAATTACTGTAAATATATTTCAGGTTATCACAATGTAAACTTGTTCAGGATACCGAATGGAGCAGAGTCAAGTATTGCTACCTGCGATTTGCTAAGGGCCTAGTCCTCCGACCACACAGTCCCACTTGTCAAACGCGCGTTTCCACCGCAGACTGTCGACCAATGGTATAACATGTCCAGAGGAATGCACGTTCTGTTATTAGTTGAGAGGTGCGTTCAAATGCAAGTTTGACTAATGTGACTGGGCCCTACGGGTTGTGTACGTATGTGAAGTTAGCCGGACAACTTTAACTTTTCAACGTTTTCAACTTTTGATTATACCTACAAACTTAAGTCGGTTCCATTGAGCTATACCCAATATGAAGCGAACACCAAAGATGAGTAGGGAGATGCACAAAGCTACGGATTTAGACGATACCAAAAACATGGCGCTAAATCGTAGCGGTGAGTCCAGGAGTAGGATTTTGTGATCATCGTCTCCGTCGATAATGCATGTCCCGTCGTAACCGAGCTGAACGTGATCACAAACGTATAGCTTGGCGGGCAGAGGTTCTCCGCAACTTATCGCTGGATCCCACAGCAACCCTTAGAATGCGGCCGCTCATCAGATATTGCTAAAATATTTTTTGTTGTAATCTTAAATTCGAGTGCACAGTGTAAAAGCCAGCACCTGATGCCTGCTTTCGTTAAGGAGTGCAGCGATGCGGTGCTAGATTCCAGCATCATTTAACCTATAATTCCAGGCGGAACTATGGTCCCAACATTGAGTACTCGAGAGAACTAACTATATAAAATACCCAATTTATTTACCTTTTCAGTCAACGGTATTTCAGTCTCGGTATTACATGTCTCCCATTGGGGGTACAACCATAAGGAAAAGAAGGAAGGAAGGAAGGGACTACAAGATAATGCGTTGCCTGTTTATCTTCAGTCAGCTATGAAAGATGACCATGTAGCTGGTAAAAAAGAATTTCTTCCTTAAACTTTACAGGTAACAAAGCTTACAGTAAGGTAATAAGACAACAGATGTCGTAATAACATCCATCGCTGATAATTTTTAGTTTAAAAGGTAAATAATATACATTTCGCAGATTGATCAAGGATAACAAATTATTGTATAACCAATGACATAAAACGGACTCGATGAAAAATACACAATTCCAGGTATCTGGCCAAATGTTCATAGCAGCCTACATTTTTTTTTATTAAAGAAATATCTCCATCTCCTCAAAGATGCTTGCAAAAATTTTTGCGTAATACGTTTTTATAGTAATCATTGAATAACTGATTATTGACTATGTTCTTTGTACCACCAAGTTTATACTACAACGTAGGAGTAAACTCGAAGGTTCTACTGTAGCTCCGTACACCCAGGTCACCGACATGACGCGTGCCCTTAAATTTTGACTTTCCAATTCTGACTCCGCCTCCCGGCCGTGAATAAGCCATTTATGTATGTATATACACACATATGCGTTCAATGTAGCTATGCTACAGCACCATCTACAAATCATCAGCCTCGACACTGAGGGGTGAATTGTACCATCAAATTGTATGATACAATAATGCAAAAATCTAAAGCAGTAAGTTGTATTAAACGTCGTGCGTTGGAGATTTGAATATTAGAATTTGCATGAAGAAATAAGAAATTGGTTAAAAGTCGAAAATGTATATAATCCATGTTTATGAAAATTTATATTAAATGCGATCCTACTTGTGAAATTAGTCTATTTTATAAACATCTTGCAGCTGTAGCAAAAAGAACCGGAATTTCGTTGACTTTACGGAATCCATAAAAGCAATTGGTATCAAGTATCAAAGTTATTTCGTGTAAATCAGGCTTGGATGATGTAGCCTCATTCCAGGAGCTCAGGGACCACAAACTAAAATATAGTATAGGTAGGGTAGAGGACGTATAATGTACATATATACTATAGTAAATTAAGTTCATGGTTAAGGTATAGTATAATACCTGTAACGTAGCAACCGGCCGTCGTTGGTGTAATGCTGGTTGCCTGTCTACAGGGAAACCGGTTTACCAGTTTCATCTCAGATATACTCAGCTGTGCTGGAGCATAATCTTGGCGCTCCTATAAGTAATCGAAAAACCCGTTTGGATGCCATCTTGTTGTCCCAATCTTTAATTGTATTTACGCACGTACTACGTAGACAGAGGTTAACGTAATATGGATAACGTGATATGTATATTCATGAAAGGATACCGTGACGTAGATCCTTTTTGAATTACAAAAATACGCCATCGCGGCATCTCCACTGGAATTCTCAATTTCACGAATTTTCTTTTAACGACTCAAAAATCCAATATAAACGTAAGAAACATTGGAAATAGCTATAAAATGGACGATCCAGAGAAATAAGTACTGTTTTTTAGTTAACAATAAACTTAGATTTTTTTAAATATCGAAAAAGGAGTAAGAGTGTCTAGCCTCCATAAGTGAAATAATACCTTCTTTCCTCCTCGGTATACTCGACTGAAGTTTCATATTTCCCCGCGAGAGGGAACAGCAGTCGCTTTTCTCGACGTCGTTCCCGCCGGAAAGAACACAATGGGGTTTAATACTCGTGACAACTGAAAGAATAATACGGATACACTTGAACAATTGTGCGGAGCTTTACGTGGATACATAATTGCGCAACGAATCTCGTTACGAAATAAATAATTTAATGTTGTCACTACGCAGAAAGAATTACGCAAATTGAAATGCTTAATTATGTACAGGATTCGAAACACGGTTAGTGGTCGCTTTTAATTTTTCAAAAACGTATCCTTGACAGCTGTCGTAAAATGGCGTAGAATATACTAACCCGGAATCGTGCCGTGTGTCTAGATCATTTTATTAGGGCAGCGTGGAATTTTGTGAAGTTTTTAAGAAAGCAAACTCAATCCAACCATCAGCTGTGAGACAGGAGAAATATCTACTCTGTGAATTCTAGATAGGCTAACCCGACGTGAGGGAGTTTTACTGGCTGTGAGCCACGCATAAAGAGAAAGAGGATGGAATGAGAATGAGGGCAAGAGAAAAAGAGAGAGCAGAGAAAAAGAACTCGAATCCGTTTTCACGGTGCTTTCAAGTCCCGTGAACCTTTGTACGGTAAAGTCCTTTGTCCCACAACATAAAAGAAACATATTTCGTCGATGGGGGTACGTAAATTGCAGAAAATGTGGCTCGTCTGATGCACACACAAAACTCGGTATCTCTGACGATTTACTTTCCCGCACAGTTACTAACTTTTATTTGTTCCTACTCAGAGGAACAATATGGCGGCTGACGTTTAGGGAACGATGCGCTTCCACTATGAGGTATTATGTCTTTCTTACTATATCGCATGAAGCATTTAACCTTCCTCTTTATTTGCATATTTTGTTTCATTTTTCATGTAAAAAGTCATTTTATGTGTTCAAATTATATATATATATTATTTTTTTCCGTTCCTTTTATCTGTCCTCGTTTCTGCTTACAACTGAATTAATAATGTTAATGGATCATTCGCTTCTCTGTTAAAATGAAAAATTCATTTTATAATTTCCACAAGACCAGATATAAGTCCCATTAGAATAACTAGTGGAAAAATACATATAGAATCACTGAATAAGTGGCTGTTTGATATCTTGTTGAAAATCCCAAGTGACGTCTAACAGAATCACGCGTTAGCGTTCTGGATAATGTACAGCAGCAGGATCCATTATAACTTGAAGTGTCTGACCGATAGCAAGCTGAGACTTTGGTAAATTGGTCCCTGCAGCATCTGTATGGTAAGAATTTAAATGATTGCTTGATACACAATGCTGTACGTCAATGGCATTAATTAATTGAGGCAGATTGGTAAAACAATTTTCACAACAGCATATATATATATATATATATATATATATATATGTGTCACAAATATTTGTTAAAATTTTATCAGAAGCCAAACGTTATCGACTTTTACTGCTTGGAAAATGAAAGGCATTTTGTAAAAACAATTTTCACAACAGCATGGTTACAAAATGCCTTTCATTTTCCAAGCAGTAAAAGTCGATAACGTTTGGCTTCTGATAAAATTTTAACAAATATTTGTGACACATATATATATATATATATATATATATATATATGTGTCACAAATATTTGTTAAAATTTTATCAGAAGCCAAACGTTATCGACTTTTACTGCTTGGAAAATGAAAGGCATTTTGTAACCACGTAAACGTCACAATATTGTTCTCTTACTAAATGCCAAGTTCCGGTATGCTGACAATAAAACTAAAATGGCCAGAGAAACTTCCGGTTCGTGCATATACATATATATATTGTCATAGTTGTCATTCGTTGTATATCTTTTCACGCGCATTGTCCACAAAACAAGCAGAGTTTCCGCTTGCGTGCAGAGATCAATTTCGAGGTCTGCGTTTAATGTAGATGCGGATTCCTTGTCGCAAGTAATTTCTTACCGCTCGAAAAGCCCGGGAGAAACGGACGCGGGAAAATTTGAAAAATTCAAAAACGTCCCTTTACCATACCTATGAACAATGGAAAATGACAATATAAAAATTTACTAAAACACATCATTATATCGTTTCTTTATTATACTGACCTTCCCGGTATTTGCTACAGTGCATGTCTTGCAGTAAGCATCGCGTTACCGCACTATAGCGTGCTACTACCATGCGCTACAGTTTCACTATCAGTTTGTCTTCATCATCAGGTAGCACATAGCCTTTTACTATCTCGACTTGTGGTTTCCCCATGATGAGCTCCAGGCTGGTTTCTCTTTTGTTCGGTTTTGAGGTTAGAATCCAATAAATATGCCTGTAGATTATTTTATTCCGTATCATTTCTTAGGTTACGTGACCTGATCTTTAAATTCTATCGTGTCTATATTCAGTTCGTGTAAATAGGTACAATTTTTTTTTTCAACCCAGGAATTGACGAGCTGGGTTAACGAGTCAACTAAGTACTCCATCCGTGTCCCACTGTTTCTTTATTGACTTTGTATAAGAAATATATAAATGAGCAGGATATTCACACGACCTATAGTTATAACGGGTCCTACGGATTTCCGTGTATATATATGATTACAGTAAACGTTACTAGACTCCATTACTCCGTTGCAGAGTATATACACGTAGATATATATATTATCAGTCAAAGAATATTATATACACAAAGCATTTCCTCCCTGCTGGAAATTCATTTTTCTCCTAGACAGGTACTCCTACGTGATGTTCGGAAAGTGCATGGCAAGTGCACGTTAATGCGTTTAAACGAAAATACAAAATATAAAGGCTGACAAGACCTTTCCCCCATTGGTTTTCAGGTAGTTGAACGTGACGGCGCACTACAAACAGTGACCTCTACCATAATATAAGCTTCGAAGGACTTTGCTAGTC